ACAGGCAAAATTCCTCAAGGCCTTTTCCAACAAGCCCTGCAACAGCTCTCTCAAAAGCTTTTGAATAAAAAGACATAGAGAAGAGTCGTCGTTTACCTTTGTTTGAGTCTTACTGGAAAATTGATATCAACCATTGACATAATGAAGGACAATAAATTGACTTTAGAACTACTTCTTCCATGGCGAAGGGGGTTGGGGGAGTCGAACTGCAGACAACTGAACTCTCTATAGTTCCAAATTCCAAAACTTAACATGCACCCGTGCTTATTATAAAACATTTACATTTTATTGCTCAAATGCAGAAATAATTTACAATTCCAGCAAAAAGGATATATTGTGACTCCAACTGTATACATTATGAACATTCCATTCAACTTACCCTTAACATGAGTAAAATAAGCAACTTGTAACTCTGAAGAAATCTCAAATAAACTATTTGATAATGAAAAATGATCTAATGTGATATGATAAGAAAAAGACATCTTAGGGAATATATGAAAAGCTTGCTCAGGACTTAGGGTCAAAGCATCGAGGCAGCTGAATAATAGACACAGTGCCATAAAAAAGGGGGGGTCTGTGTCCTCCAGGTCCAGGACAAGAGAGCAAGGCCAAGGTCCCTGGCTTTCTTCCATCATATTTTCTCAGGTTCTGAAATAAATATGCTCAAACCAGTTTAACCGTTTAAGAACAGGCAGCCTGTTAAGGAGCAGGTATATCCTGGTCAGATTCTCTACACTCTCTTAGCGTGCCCTAAATCTTGAGTTCTTTTTGCATGTGTGTGGTGGGGGGGCTGACACAGTGATGCCACGTACTGTTAGCTTCCATGAGAAACAAAATATATGATGGTTCAAGCTTTCTTCTCACATTAAGGTATACAAATGGCTTTAAGCCTCATTCTCCCATCATGAATACTGAAGTCATTCTCCGGGAAGAATGTTTAGATTTTTTTCCACTCTTTTTTCAAAATATGGGAACAACTATAGGTCCATAGAGAATAAATATTCCAAGAACAACTAAAAACAGTGGGATGCAAAGCTTTCTGGCACATTACTATACGTCAGTCTTGTAAACTCGCAAAACTCTTGGACAGTTCACCTTGAATTTATCTTCATTTAAGTTTTCAAGTTACCCATCATACTGAAAGTTATTTATTGTTATGCACCAAAGCAAAAAAAACCCACAAATATCATATACGTATATTATACAAAAATATATAATTGTATAAAATTATATATATATATATATAAGTAAAGCCACACACACACATACATGTATATGGTTTTCCAATACACAATATAAAAAGGTTCTGTTTTCACTCCTTTGTTTTATTGGTTTAATTAATAATTATTGAGGATCTGGTAATGTTGGACACTAATTACTGAATAAAGATAAATTAGAACACACTATCCAACGTTGTGAACCTCACACTTGCTAAGAGAGACTCAAATATATATATATATATATATAACAAGTTTTACTTATTTATTTTTAAAAAAAAGAGAGCAGACTCATGAACAGATATTATAATATAACGTGAAAAGTGCTATATTAGTGTTTTTTGCATTTTACTATAGACGCTAAACAAGTAGATCAATTGAGTTTCCCTAAAAGCTCTGTGTCTAGGTCTTTTTCCTCATAACTCACCAGTTTGTAACACCATCCCCATCTACCACACCAACCACACACTCCAAGTGTTAAATATGAAAGTTACTTGGAGCTTAACAGCCGATCTGCAAACTCCCATCGCTGGCAGCAGTTCGTTATCATTGTCAGGTGGTTTCACACCTGTCCCCACCACAAACACACCCACCTATCAGTGAGCAAAATCCGTTCTGCTGTTCCTCCCGGGCACATCAAAGCAAACATAAACATTTTAAGTGGGTCACAAAGTGAGAATGGCATTAGGAATCCAGGACTCAAAAGAACAAAAGTGTTGGCACCAAGGCCTAAGGACTTTCCTCTTAAACACTGATTTGATACACACCCACTAAGCACAGGCTCCAGGCTCCGGGCTGGGTACTGATGGCTGCAGTAGAGGATCGCGTAGTCTAACACTTGATACTCAAACAAAGAAACTGGGACCAAGACATCTTGTATTTGTAACAGAATGAATAATTGTTAGCAAATCAGACTACACAATATATTTCCATAAAAACTTTCTCCCTCATTAGCTACCAATTTAAAATGTTGAAGAGAGTTTTAACTTCCAAAAATTAATTACCAAAAATTAGTTACCAACTTTAATTACCAATTTTCAATATTGAAGATGTGATTTAATAGTGAGTGGGGGTAAAGATGCTCCTTAATTAGTAGGGTTGAAATTTTCTTTCTTAAGGAAGGTCAGTAGTGTGGGGAACATCACAGAAGGTCAACACGTGCTTCAGGAAGTGCTTTCCAGCACTGTTTGGGCAGAAGTCTCTACGCTAGCATATTAGCTCCTCTGATTTTGGTCTCTCTCCTCTTACACACAATCCCTCTGTCTAAGAGGTCCCTCAAATCTCTAGTTCCACTTCCTGAAACAGTCCGTTTTTCCTCTAGACTGGATGCATTTACAGTTTCTAATAAATTCAGGTGGCATTATTGCATTTCAGCAATAGGTCTCTAGTAAATACCCAATACAGGTTTTAATTTGAAGGTTAATTCATTATGAAGTAAGTTTGAAATTCTGCATGTTATATGTTATTATCAGTGCAACGTACAGAAAGGAGACAAAAAGTACTCACAAATTTTCAGTACGTCCATGCCCTAATTGTCGTGAGCTTACAGTGAGTGCTTTGTATGGAACATGGTGGGCAAGCACGACATTTAATATTTGGCATTTGTGATTTGTTTTTTCAGACTACAGAACTTCTGTAAGGCGTAATCATTGCACTATTTCTAAAGCTTCAATGCTTGTCTTTGGTTTGGTCATTTGGGAATGTCTCCTAACCAAGCAAGGAGAAGAGTTCTTTCCCATGATGGATAAGAGAAAAATAACTTTTTTTCCCCAGAAATCCTGACTGTAAACACACGCCTGCCCCCCATGACCCTGGATGCTGCCAGTCACACACACTCACAGAGCATGGGAACCCTCTCCGCTGCAGCCCTCACCTGCCACTTCCATCAAGCTGCAGCCCCAGCTCCCAGCAGGCAGTAAATCTGTCAGTGGGGCCCAGCACCAAATGGCACAGGGTTCTATCTAGCCTTTTAAGACAAGCCTCCGAGCAATTTCTTCCCTTTAGATGGACATAAATGCTACATTCAGAAAAAGACTGATACCAAGTCTTTACTCAAGTTGCTTTTTCTCTTAAAAAATTTTATCAATAGAAACCGATAAGAACAAATTTCAAAGAATCATCTAAATGTATCCATACTTGAAAAATCAAGGACACTCATTTTGTTTTGATTTGCCCATTAATACTGCCTCGTGCCTGAAGAACAGAAGATAAACTGAGGGACATGCTCAGAGTGATCGCTTCGCAGTCAGGTTTGAAGACTGTACTTCTGAAGCTCCATCAGCTCCTTCAAGGAGAAGGCCTGTGTTTATCCACCTTCAGCTCAGAACTCTGCAATTTCAGCTTCCCTTTCTCCCATTAGTTCAGCTCGGTGCTGTTATCAATGATGTATCGAAACAGAAAGAGGGTCACAGGTAATCTGAGACAGGGGAAAAAGCAAGACTCTACATTCCAAATATTGCAGCCATTTGGAAAAAATAACTTTAACACAGAAATCCCCAAATCTGTCCACTAATAATATAACTACCTTCCCAAAACTGAATTGATTTGTACTATTTTAGACATATACTTCATATTTAAAATCAGTTTAATGGTCTGTTTTCTTGAGATCTATATATATATATATGTATAAAATAATTGCTCTCACACTATAGTGGGAAGAAGAAAATTTTGGAGTGAGACCTGGGTTCAAATTCTGTCCTGATCACTCATACATAAGTTTCTTAGGATATAATGATACAGTGTACATAAGTATCTGGAATGCGACATGTGATTAAAAAAATATTATTTCTTACTTCTTCATTACCAGCCATAAAATATTAGAATTAAAAAAACATTTTTTATACGATCAATGTAAATTTGTAGTGTTTATAACCCCTCATAACTATGACTTGATTTTTGATGATTTAGTACTATTCCTTTTGATTTTATTTTTTTCTGTATTGGCTGACATTGTTTCATTCATAAGCTAAATCAGATACGGTGAGCAAGAGAATTTTAAGATGGTCCCAAGATTCCTGGCTCCTGTGTAATCTCCTCAGGTGTAGTCAGAACCTGCAAATGTGATGGAATAATTGCTCCCTTGATTAGGTTATGTCTTCTGAGCAAGGTGATGGGATAGTCACTTCCTGGTGTGTTATGTTATGTCTTAGCAGACTAGAGAAAAGAGATTCCCCTGTTGTCCTTGACCTTGAAGAAGTAAGCTGCCTGTATTGATAGGGGGCCACGTGGCAGGTGTTAGAGTGGCCTCTTAGGAGCTGAGACCAGCTCCTGCTGACAGTTAGCAAGAAAATGGAGACATCAGTCTTGCAACCGTGAGGCTAAATTATTCCAACAACCATATGGTCTTGGAAGAGCACCCTGACCTCCAGAGGAGAATACAGCCTGGCCAAAACCCTGAGTGCAGCCTTGTAAGACCCTGAGCAGAGGACCCAAGCTCCTAACCCAGACTCCTAATCCACAGAAACTGTGAGGTAACATATATGTGTTGCTTTCAGCGCTGAGTTTGTCGTAATTTGTTACACAGAAACAGTACAAGAGAAAACCAATACAAGAAGCAAATTAACATTTCATATTAAGCAATTAATGTAAAAGTCATTCCTTCAAGGAGGGATTAAAGTGAGAGTAATTGGCTCCTTAAGCCCTGACCTGTTAGGGAAGGCATGCCAGCTCCTATCCTTTAGAAATCACTATCAATTGGCAGTGAAACAGAGGCCCATTAAAAAAAGCAAAAGCAGTTAGCTACACAACAAACAGTATATAAGAGTAATAGCAACAACAACTCACATTTTTCGGTCATGGCTTGTGTGCAGGCACTGTTCTAAACACTTGACATGGTTTACACCTGCAGGTGTTTTCCCGCAGCTTAATAACTGAAAATCAAACAAAAAAATCAAGATTTTTTTCTCAGTCAGTTCTAATGTTTAGAACATCTAGATTAGATCCAAATTTACAGCTGTTAAAATTGAACTTATTCATGTGAAATCTCAAGGGACCCCAAATAGCCAAAACAATCTTGGAAAAGAAGAACTAAATTGAAAGTCTCACACTTCTTGATTTCAAAACTCACTACAAACCTACAGTAATCAAAACAGTGTGGTGCTGGCGTAAAGACAAACGTATAGATTAATGAATAGAATAGAGAGCCCAGAAATAAACCCTTGCATATATGGTCAAATGATTTTTGACAAGGATGTCAAGACCATTCAATGGGGAAAGGACAATTTTCAACAAACGGTGCTGGGAAAATAGGATACCCATAGGCAAAAGAATGAGGTTGGACCCTTACCTTACACTACATATAAAATTTAACTCAAAATGGATCAAAGACCTTAACATAAAACATGAAACCATAAAACTCTTAAAGAAAACAGGGGAAAAGTTTCATGATATTGGATCTGGCAATGATTTCTTGAATATGACGCCAAGCACAGGCAACAAAGATAAACTGGACTTCATCAAAATTAAAAACTTTTGTTCATAAAAAGACACTTTCAACAGAGTGAAAAGACATCATGCTGAATGGAAGAAAATATTCACAAATCATATATCTGATAAGAAGTTAATATCTAGAATTTATAATGAACTCTTATAACTTAACAACAAAAAACAAAACCCACTTTAAATATGGGCAAAGAACTTGAACAGACATTTCTCCAAAGATGATACGCAAATAATCGATAAGCACAAGAAAATTTGTTCAACATCACTACTCATTAGGAAAATCCAAATCAAAACCACAATGAGACACCATTTCCCTCCTTAGGATGGCTATTATCCAAAAACAAAAAAGTAGCAAGTGTTGGCAAGGAAGTAGAGAAATTGAAACCCTTGTGCACTGCTGGTGGGAATATAAAATGGTGCAGCTGCTATGGAAAACAGTATGGTGGTTCCTCAAAAAATTAAAAATAGAACTACCATATGATCCAGCAATTCCACTTCCGGGTATATACTCAAAAGAATTGAAAGCAGCTACTTGAACAGGTATTTGTATACCCATGTTCATAGCAGCAGTATTCACAATCGCCAAATGGTTGAAAACAACACAAGTGTCAATTGATGGATGAATGGATAAACAAAATGTGACATATGCATACAATGGAATATTATTCAACCTTGAAAAGGAAGGAAATTCTGACATACGCTACAATATGGATAAACCTTGAAAACATTATAAGTGAAATAAACCAGCCAAAAAGGACACATATTTTATGATACTACATAGATGAAGTACCTAGAATAGTCAAATTTATAGAGACAGAAAGCAGAATGATTGTTGCCAGCAGGTGGGAGGGAGGGGCAATGGAGAGTTATTGTTTAATGGGGAGGGAGTTTCAGTTTGGGAAGATGAAAAATATTCTGCAGATGGATGGGGGTGGTGGTGGCAAACACAATGTGAATGTACTTAATGCCACTGCATTGTACACTTAAAAAGGGTAAAATGGTAAATTCTATGCTATGTATATTTTACCACAATAAAACAAAATCAATTTTAAAAATCTAACTTATTTTACCCAGAAGATAGTTTTAATCAACATATGGGAGTAGGATAAGAAAATTCGTTTACTCCTGTAGGTTAGCACCACACTTTTAACAGGTGATTCCAGTACACTAACCAAGTTCCCCAATGAGTGTTACTAATCACAAATTTAAAACTAAAAAGAGTCCTTGCTCACTTGAAAGGCCACAGGTAGCCCATTTTAGTGTGGTGGTTACTAAGGATCAGAAAGAACTAAGTTCAAATTCTAGTTCTACCACTTAGCGCTGGAAAATTGAACAAGTCCTTAACTCTTAGTTTCTTCACCTATAAAAGTCTATCCTTTTAGGACTGCTATAAAGATTGCTATAAGGTAATATGTCTATGTGTATTAGTCAGGGTAATCTCAGTGGCTTAACACAAGACAAGGTGTTCACTTGGCATCCTCCTACATGGTTATTCAGAATTCTGGTTCCTTTATCTCATTGCACCGCTGTTCACTGGCTGCTCTGCATTTAACCAGCAAAAATGTTGAGAGTGAGGAAAATCCTGCAGTACGTCTTGTGGGCAGGCTTGGAAACGGAATTCAACACTTCCATAAACATTTCACTGGCCAGAACCTGATCCCCCCGGTTCCAATCTACATGCAAGGGAAGCTGCTAACACAGTCCTGTTTGCCTGCAAGAGGAAAGGAGATTGGTAAGCATCCGGCCCAACTGACCCAGGAGAAAGTTGGCTCGTGTCTCTTAAGGCACATCTCCAGGAATACAGTGAGAGTGAGGCTGCAGACTATCCCATCCTTTCTTTGATCATTTGCTGGCTCCTCGCATCAGGTATTTCTCTCTTTATAGGTGAGATTCATTTGCCCTCAGAGGTACCCAATTTTTCTTCCAGGCTATTTAAAGCCACAAGATAAACATTGTGCATTTTCCTGGAACATCTAATCGGTTAGGGGAGAGGGGTATGGGTGGAGTCAGAGATGAGTTAAGTAATTTAGCTTGCATATAATTTAAAACTTTAAATTTATAAAGTGAACTCGAATATAATATGAAGTAGAATGCAAAATTTACATAAATATTTAAATAGAGAAAACATGAAATTTCAAAGAAATTTCATACAGGAAGGGGGTCCTTTATGCTGAGTTTCTCTCCATGCCTATGTTTCCGTGTTGATTCTGTTTAGGATTATATCAGAGGAAAGGTATCAGAAGCACTGGATCATTCCAGGCAAACATACTACCTTTTGTATTTTTAATGAATCTTTCTACTTCTTTTTGTGTGTCAAATATTTTATGTTATATATATAAGCATATATAGACTATATATGTATATATAATTACTAAATATTAGCATAATATGAATATTACACACTAGATACATAGAAACTTACACTATCATTACACCCAAACTGCTTTCCCACACCTTTGGTATAAATATACCGACACATTCTTTCAGCTAAAAACAGTTATCACCCGAATGGTACTATGTCTGCAATGCCATCCAACTGTTAAGAGCAGTTCTCTCTTGCAAGTGTTCAAAGATAGGCAGGTGGAGAGGTGTTGTAAGACAAAGTATAGCCAAGCCAAGCAACTGGTTCAATTTTGTGGCTGTCAACATTTCAGAAGAGGCAGCTGGTTGTTCACGGGATTTCCCCCCTAAGACATTTGTTTATTTGAATTTGTAACGTTGATAAAAGTTGACTCATTCACTTCACATTTTATTATTTCATCTTAGAAAAGAAATTCATGCTAATGGTATCCAATGAAACAAGCTAAGATGCATGAAGAAAGAGTTTACGATTTCCCTTTCTCCTTCCAGCCCCCACCCAGGTAATCAATGTTACCATTACATAGAATTCTTAAATGTTTGTTTTTACAAAAATGGCATTATACCAAACTGGTTGTATTTCTCACTTAACATATTATAGACGTTCCTCCAGTTCATAAATGTTGATCTAATTCATTTTAAATTATAGAATTATATTCTCTGATAGACCATAATTGATTCCACCTGGACATTCATGGGCTTTTTTTCACTTCTATATGGGTTTGCAAACCACTACAAAAACATTCTGCAATAAATAGACTTGTATAGAGATCTTTACATAATGGAGCTTTTATTTCTTATTACAAACTAGATTTTCAAAGAGCCAATGAATATATTTATTTTTAATTTTGAAATTGATCTATCTAATATGCATTGATCTATTCTTTATTCTACTTGCCTGGTTTAGTTATCTTTTCCTAGGCCAGTAACACGTCGTTTTGATTACAGGCTGTGGTAGAGATGACAACTTCTCATCACTATCTGTTTTTCTCGTCTTCCTGGTGCACAACTAGAAGACATTTCTCATTCCTCTTGCATTTGGTGAGGCCACACTGTTAGTGACTACTCACCAAGGAAGTTTAGGAAAAGTGAGACTTCTCCATCTTTTTGCCAATTGCTGGATGAATGAAGACTTTCCGAAGGAAGGAAAGACCGCAAGATAGGAGGAACACAGGTGTGCTGGTTTATCAGTGTATTGCCTCTCAGTGCCAAACCCACTCTTCCTTGCCCTGCTTTGTTACGCTGGAGCCAGATCCTATAAACAAACACGTCTCCCGTTCCAGGTGGCACAAGGTCAGGCTACTCAGCAGAAGGTCTTAGAGGGAGACTCCTAGAGGAAGGGGCTTCTCATCCTAGTTCTGGGGCCATTTTTCCTATTGATTCTAGCAGAATGTGGCAGCAAACAGCAGCCCGGACTCCTAGAGGCACTCATCCTCCAGCAAGTTTCCCTGGCTCTCCAGCGGGCAGCATCTAAGTGAGTCTCACCAGCACAGCTGGCAGTTTCTTGCTTGCCAGCCCCAGCTGTGGCACCTCAGCAAACCCTCCCACCTTCCAGAGGGCCACAGCCACACCCTCTCCAGAGAGCTCTGACTCGCAGCCTTGGGTGGGGGCGGGGATGCGCTTCCACCTCTATTCCTCTCTCGGTGCTCTGCCCCAGCCCCAGAGGTAGAGACTGTTCCCTGTACCCCCATTCCTGTATTCTTTAGAGTTCTCTCTATGCCTTAGTAATTAATCACCCAAGTTAATAAATCTCCACACTAAATTTTCCATCTTCAAATTACTGATGTAATTTCTGTCTCCTGATTGATACAGCATATCCCTGACTGACCTGACCGCTGGAAAGGAGCCTCTGGCCCCCACAGCCTGTTACAAGAGTATGAACTAATCGTGTTCAGCCACTAAAATTTGGGGCTGCTACTTAAAGTAATTAAACTACTTTGAGCAAATAGTCAAATGACAGAATTGTGGTAGCAATTAATACTTGGTAAATCAAGTACTCTAGGCTTTTCTTTTTCAAATTGACATAGCTATTCTCAATAATACTTTCACATGAAATTTGACTTAATTTTAT